CATTCCTAGTGCCTATCTTTAAATCTGACCGAAAATCTGACGTACGTAATTATCGTGGTATAGCCATTATCTCTTGCATTCCTAAACTTTTCGAGGCAATTGTCAACGAAAAATTATTTCTCCAAATCAAAAATAGAATTACTGACATGCAACACGGCTTTTTCAAGGGTCGCTCGACCTCGACAAATTTACTTGAATTCATAGACTATTCATTGAATGCAATGGATAATGGAAACCACGTAGAAGCTCTCTATACAGACTTTAGCAAGGCATTTGACCGCATAGACATACCAATGCTACTTTTTAAATTGCAAAAAATTGGAATTGAGTCAGGGCTCCTAAAATGGCTTGAATCATATTTAACTAACCGCCAATAAATAATTAAATTCAACGGAAAGAAATCGAGTCCAATTCAAGTCACTTCAGGCGTCCCCCAAGGCTCTCATTTGGGACCTCTTCTTTTTATTCTATACGTAAATGACATTTCTTTCATTCTCAAAAAACTTAAATTGCTTATTTATGCCGACGATATGAAGCTCTTTTTGGAAATAAGAAATGAAGAAGACATCAATATATTCCGGAATGAAATACACATATTCTACATATGGTGCAAAAAAAGTCTACTAGAATTGAATGTAAAAAAATGTACAACAAAGAACAACTTCAAATATTGCAATTGCACTAGGAAATCAAAATGTAGAAAAATGTGAAAGAGTTAGGGATTTAGGAATTATCTTAGACTCTAAACTAACTTTCATAGACCATTACAACACAATTATTCACAGGGCAAATAACATGCTAGGCTTTATCAAGCGCTTTTGCTATAACTTTCAGGACCCATACACAATTAAAACACTATATATCGCCTATGTGAGGTCAATACTGGAATATTGCAGCATTGTATGGTCTCCTTTTTCAATCACGCACGAAGAAAGATTAGAATCAGTACAAAAACAATTTCTATTATACGCTCTTCGTAAATTAGGTTGGACATCATTTCCTCTTCCATCATATGAAGCACGCTGCATGCTTATAAACATATTTACAAACATTAAAAGAGCGTCGTGAATATGCAATGGTTTCATTTGTAAACGATATCGTTTCGCAACGCATTGACTCCACAGAACTTTTATCAAAATTAAATTTCCATGCACCTACTCGGCAACTCCGAAATCGAAATTTATTTGCCATAAAACATCATCGCACAAATTTTCCAAATATGGGCCATTAAACCGCCTGATGGCCTCTTACAATCAATACTGCGAAACCATTGACTTTACAATGTCTCGGCATAAACTAAAACAATATTTTTACTCCATAAAGCATTATAACTCATAAAAAATAGGAAAGCTGACACTGCTTAATTTTTATTAAAGAAAAAATTATACTTTTAACCTTTTGCCCAAAGTTGACGAAATAAATAAATAAATTTAAGAAAACAAAACTGTATTCTAATATGTACTAGTCTACGTTGGTTGACGAAATAAATAAATAACATCTCTGAAGGAAGGCGTGATCAGAGATGTTATGCCTCAGAACATCCCGGCGGCGCCGACTGACTTAATTTTATAAAGCGGTTTGGTTTACACTTTAAAGATCCTTACACAATAAAAACACTATATGTTGCCTATGTGAGGCCAATATTAGAATATTGCAGTGTTGTTTGGTAGCCTTATATGAAAAGGCATGAAGAACGAATAGAGTCACTCCAAAGGCAATTTTTATTATATGCGCTACGCAAATTGGCATGGGCAGAATTTCCTCTCCCATCTTACGAAGCTCGTTGCTTGTTAATCAACATTCAGTCATTGAAAGAGCGTCAAGATTATGCTATGGTCTCTTCCGTGAACAATATTGCTTCGCAACGCATTGATTCAGCTTATTTATTATCAAGACTTAATTTTTATGTACCTTCTCGTCAATTGCGTAATCGACATTTGTTCGTGGTAGATCGTCACCGCAGTAACTACGCGAAATATGGACCGATAAATCGGATGAAGTCTGTTTATAATCTACACTGTGAAATGATAGACCTAAATAAGTCTCCCCTAAAACTGAAAATATTTAAGTCTTTTAAAGAGCAAACATTCAGAGCTAAATGCGGCATGGTTGGCGTCCAAGTTCATTTTACGCTCTTTATACATTTTCAAACAATTAATACATTTCAATACAGTTGACATACACTCCGACGTTTTGTGTTGTTGGCTGCACCTAGTGCATCTCTCACACGTCCGTACTTCTGTGAAAACGACTCTGGCGAGGCCATCACCGTCAACGGAGAGCGCTACCTAAGAGAAGAGGTGACAATACGGGGGCGAAAATGAACCACTTTTCTGTCAAACGTAAACCAGCTCCTGATTGGCCGATTTCATGTGCGTAAGATAGAGATAGAGATAGATAAAGATAGAGATAGAGATAGAAATAAAAGAGGAAGAAGCCAATTGTCACCTCTTCCTCTTAGAGCGCTACAGGTCGATGATTACCGACTTCTTCTGGCCTAAAGTGGATGATATCGATGTGAACGATATGTGGTACCAACATGACGGTTCAAGGAGGCGACCCCTTCGTAGTGGTTAGCATCCATACCTCTCACGCTAAAGTCACGAGTTCAAATCTCACCCCGGACAAGTCACGAATGACCCAAAAGTGTTAAAGTGACTATAATAATAAAAAATAAAAAGTAATAAAAAAAAATAGAAAATAAAAAACAGGACGGTTCAACGTGCGTGTGCCACACAGCGCAGGAAACGAAATATTCTGCATGAGCGATTTCCGGGCATGGTTATTTCGCGCGGAGGCGATGTCAACTGGCCACCAAGATCGTGTGATTTAACAACGCTAGATTTTTTTTCTTGTGGGGTTATGTTAATTAACAGGTCTATGCCAATAAGCCGCAAACCACCGATGCCCTCAAAGCCAACATTACTCAAGCCATCAACGAGATTCAGCCCGATTTGTGCGCCAGAGTCATGGAGAATTGGACCTCTCGGATGCACGCCACCAAGCGAAGTCGAGGCGGCCATTCGAACGATGTCATATTCCAAACAAAATGGTATTGATATAGGCCTTTCAATCGAAAAATAAATCTCATCAATATCTCACACACTGTTTGTTTTATTCAACTTTAAAGATAGGAAACGTATAATCTAAAAACTTTATATGCACCAATTTCTTAGTAAATATATATTAATATTTAATTTAATACATAAAATGAAAAAGTAGCTTGGACAATGATTTAACCTCCGAAACTGTACAGAGTTCGTCTGTCACTGCAAAGCGTAGACGACATCGACGGCTACTTACGCTTGGCGTGTTCAGTATAGGTGGCAGCATCACTGAGCACATTTTCCAAGAACATCTTCAGTACACGTCGTGTTTTCTCGTAGATCAGACCGGAGACACGTTTGACACCGCCACGGCGAGCCAGACGACTGCTTTTGCTGCTTCTGCTGTCTGCTCACCACGGCGTCCGAAGCGGAAATGAGTTGAGGTAGTAGTAGTAAAATTATGTTTATTTCTGTTGATTATGATAGTACATTGATTTAACATTTTAATTGATTAGCCTACCTGGCTCTTCATCTTTGTTTAATTTGATATTCTAATTTAATATTTGCGTTTTTAAACTAGTTTACAGAATACCCCTTTGGGGGTGTGTTTTGTTTGAATTGAAAAAAGTGATAACCTACCTAACTACGAATATAACTTAACCTAACGTGCTAGGTCACGTATGATCTGATGATTTGATCTCAGACAGGTGTCTCTGAACCTTTCTAGGATGCATGAGTTGAGGTTAGACAGCGTTGTTTTATATCTTTTCAGGTTAAAGCAGAATGATGTGCAACCAAGTGGTACTTGATTATGACGACTGCGTTTGGGAACAACGTTTATTTCATGAAAACAGTGACAAAGTTATCACTTTTTATTTGTACTTTGGATAATGCTTGACATTACCACTTTTCAGTAGTTTATTGTTGAAAATCATCAGCAATGCAATGCTTCCAGTAGACATATTTCTGATCGATTGGTGATAAAATTACTGAAATTGATCCAGGGGCAGCTGAGTTATTAATGTTCAAAATCTTTCATAATTTTGTTTCATGTTCCATTTTCGGTTTTCACAAATTGTAGACACTCTCAGAATTCCATTAAATTTTGCATAATTGTTTGCTAGGAACAATAATCCAAGTTTGTGCCGGAATTCGGCCGAAGTTGACATTCGTAAAAATTTTGAACTTTTTTTTCACGCAATATTAATGAGGGTTGAGCATTGAAAACGATTGTCTGGTCAAACAAGTATGTTTTCTCAGTTAAAAAATAAACAATAAAAAATATTTGTGGAAAAACAGTTCCAAATTTGTAAAGTTGATGTTCTTCGAATTTGGTCAATTGTCCATTGTTTCCATTTCAGGAAAGTTAGTATTTTTGATGAGCTTGCGAATAAAAATAATTTAAAAAGTTAAAAATTTTGAAAATGTACTTTTGCTATTGAAGTTTTAATTTTTACAGGTTTTTTTTTCCATTTTTAACGAAAATTTTATTTATTTTTCCTCAGCGTGTATAGTTTCCTACAACTTTGTCTCAGACGTAATTTCGACCAGCAGCAGGGTTGCTTCCACTCACTTGCTATAAAAAAAATATTTTTCGAAATTATGCAATCATTAGATGTTATTATGATATGTTGTACTAATAAGTAATAAGAAAAGGGGGTAAAGTATGTGTTTGACTCATAAAACCTGTCAATTTCGCTTTCAGAGCGTCACAATTAGCGATCATATGATTCGTGAGCGTTCACTCAGAGTAAGCGCTCACGAGTCGTAAAATCGCTGAAAGCAATATTGACAGATTTTATGTGTCAAACATATACTTCATGACCTCTTCTTGTAACTTACAAGTACTAATTAGCATTATACTATTTCATGATTTCATAATTCCGAAAAACATTTTTTTATAGCAAGTGAGTAGAAGTAACCCTGACCAGCAGTACTGTTTCCGTGCTACGATTAAACTTTCAAGGGCGCCATTTTGAAAATTTTACAAGATCCAAAATGACCGATTTTTAGAAAGAATGTGTATGATTGCCCATTACAAACAATTATGCAAAGTGTCATGTAAATTGGAGAAGGCCGAGTTTTTCCGAGTTGTCATTTGACGTGGAACTGGTCCATAACCGAGTAAAGAAGTGACACCGTGACGTCCGGTCATGAGACACGAGTGATCCAGGCATTCAAACAGGTCCATACAAAAGTCCATTAGTAAAAGTATGGACGACTGAAACCAGAAAAAAAAATGTTCCAATCAAGCAAAGTAAAGCATTTTGACAGTGCGGTTGGAACAGCTTTTGACAGACGTCCATACTTTTACCACAGCCAAGCAGACATAATACTTTTAAAATGTTCATCGAAATGGCTTTTAACGGTCAATTGAAATGTTTCTTAGTTGGTAGTACCACCACCTGTGGCGCGCATAATCAAATCCCTTGCGTTTGACGTTTACACACTACAGCGTTGAGTGTATTGCCCAGTGTATACGACAGATGTCGGTAGTGTTTTAGCGACGATGTTTTACAATGAGAAATGTCCAATGTGTTGTGTATATTTGTCTGTGGTTTGACTTTAGTCCATACAATTGCAGTGAGATTGTGTAATTGTAAATCGGCCTAAACCATTTAATTCTTCAGACACCTTTCACCGCTGCGCACTTTCTCTCGTTCCGAATAAGCTATCTCGAAGACAGCTCGTTTCAACTCTACTGGATTCCCACTATGCATACTGTAAGCTTGGTCAAGTTCAATTCTCAGCTCAGCTTCCACTTTTTTCGGATGACGACCACAGTGAACAGATCGTCGCGTTCCCAGTTGTTGCCGTATTTCTTCACTCTTGGGACAGACAAGTACGTTGATCGGATCATGAATGTTGAAACCACTGTCCACTATTGCTCGATGATTTTTAAGTCTCTGATGGATCAGGTGATGCTCCTGCGTTTGGTCCGTAGTGGCATGATCCATTGTGTCCGAATCACGCCTAATTTTGTCTCCGAGAATCTTTTCATATCCTTCGAATCGCTTGTTGTACTTGCCAACGCGTTTATCAAGAGTTGGTTGTCGCCGTTGGTCCATGCCGCCGCTGAAAATCCTATTTGGAGCTATCCGTTCCAAATGGGCACGTTTTTCAAACATGTGCTCTGCCTTCCTTGGGTTGGCCTTGATATGTTCAACCATCTTATCCCGCAGATCTGACGCATTGTTGACCTGTAACGATTCGCGCTGAGCTGGACTTAGCTGGGCCACGATTGCATCCAGAGCACAGGAATTTTTTCCCGAAGGAGTCACCGGGACGTTGGGATCCAACGGACAAAAGTGTCCCATGGGATGTTCATTAGACGGGGTGAAATGCTTGATTGCTATTGGTTTGCCCGGCAATTTACTTCCTACGATATACTTCAAGTTGCCCTTTTCGTCATATACGTAGACTGGAGCATTCACTGCACCCGCCGAAAGAGCCAAGCTTGTGGTGTCATGCAGATGTCCATCCTTGGTGATGATGTCAATCATCTGCTTGGATTCAGTACCAGGTTCTTTAGGTTCAGGTTTTGGCTCATGGGTTTCGGCTGCATTGGCCAAGGCATTTGACTCGCTTCTGAGATCTCGCTCGGTCTTAATCTCATTCCGAAGCTTAGTGACTGATTCTTCCATACTGTGGAACAGTCCGTTGGTCACCTTTGCAGTTACTCGGCTTACAGCTGGATTTACAATATTCTCTTTGATTGAAGCAGTCAGTTTTCCCGTAATCGTACCCTTGAAAGCACTAGCAAGAGTTCTCGGAGTAGAGCCCTCTCGGTACGTTGATCGTAGCTTCACTGCAGCTTGAGCTGGTGCCTTTGAGCTGTAGACTGTATCTTCCCTAATTTCCTGAACTTTAATGTCTGAACTATCGCAGTCGACATCAGGAGCCTGACCAACCTCTTTAGCCGATAATTGATCACGATCTGCTTGGTTGATTTTGGCAGTCGATTGAACGTTATGGCTGGAAGTTTCGCTAGACGAATCAACTACCGCTTCATTGATTTTCTTCTCCTGATCGCGCACCACCTTGTTAAATTTCGTAATGAAATTTTCCGTGTATGTCATTAGTTTATGCATACATTTTCCCACTCCAACGACATCCATGATATCGTCAGCATAAGGAATTGATCCAACAGCCACCCCTTTTGCAATATTTTTGAACATGTCAATGCACTGATTGATGTCTTTATCTTTCAATAGCTTCATACCTTCTTTTATGAACAGCTGTTTCCAGTAGCTTGAACCGTTACGTTCATCTTCTTCCAAGGCCTTCACAACCAAAGCATTTTCCGAAAGTGCTCTTATGAGAGCATCGTTCACACAGGCACTGATTTCATCTTCAAGATTTTTCATGAACAGCTGATCAGTGCAGTATTTTCCTGCCTCGTTCAAACATTCCTTTACGACTCCTTTCCCCAACGCGAGTCCTACTTCTTTGATGGCCAACTGTACACCACCTTGCGGACCAACTATTCCTTTGCCGACATCATAGCATGTTCTCGAAATGTCCTTTAAACCGGACTTGAAAGTATTACATACCCCCTTTCCTGCTTGTTTGATTGTCCCTAACCCCAGAGTTCCGGCTTCCTTAGCAGATTTGATGGTCTGTTTTATAGAAGCGATTCCAGCGCAAACGATGGAAATAGCGATGCTGATCACTTTCTGAGTTGCCCAGGCAGCCCAGCTAAACGTTCCTTTGATGGCAGCTGTGGCGGCCACGATCAGATCTGCTACGCCCTCTGCAATGAGACCCGATCCTAAGGAGCCTCCAGTATACATTACTATGAGACATCCTGCGGCAATTTGGGCGATGCCAATAAGTGCAACCGCTATTATGCTACCCCATGGCCTCGGAAGCTTCTCTTCGACAGTGAATAAACTCTTCAGACCATTGCCATATGCTTCGCGGATTGCTTTATCGTGCTTTTCCTTTGCCTCAGAAAATAGGTCGTACAAATTTTTCAGCGTGAGCTTCACATTGTTGTTGTTCTTCTGAGCAGTCTCTATGACTTCACAGGCCTGCGCAATGAAATCTTCCTGTTGACTGAGAACATCCAACTGATGTTGCACGTGTTGAGATGTTTGCTCTAGGCAGGCATGCTGTCCAATCAATGTATTGAAGGTCAACAGGTTTGGACGGTATACCGACTTGATCAGATCTCTTGCCTTCTTCAACTCCTGTAATGCTTTCTGTTGCTTGCATTCTCTGTTCTCGGTATAGGAAAGAAGAGCTCGAGCCTTGTTAAATCGTGCATTCACAGAGAAAACAGGATCTAGTAGAATGGCTCGATCAAAACATATAACCGCTTCTTCGAGCTTCCTCGCATCCAATTCTTCGTTCCCTTTGAGCACGTAAAAGAAGGGATTCTGAACGAGCTTATCGTTCTTGGCTCGGTGATTAAGATCTTGTTCGAATTCACCCCTGAACATGGTGGTGGCTTCTTCAGTCGATATCTTAGCATCGTCGAAATGTTTGCTTTTCAACCAAAGGCCCCAGGCTTCTTCAATTGCTTTTCTCTCGAATGAACCCCACTTGTATCGTAAGGCCAGGTTGCTACATTTTGGTTTGTATTTTTCACCCCTTTTGAATTCATTTAGCATTTCTGAGGGTACTGTTGATGAAAGTTTGGAGCAAAACTGACTCAATACGTTCTGGGTGTAACGCTTCCGGAATGCAGGCAACTCGATAGCCACCTGCTCAGCAGCTTTATCTTGCAGCTCTCGTAGGTCCTCTTCGTTCAATTTGCCAACCTGTTCCTTAGTAAGCCTGTTCAAAGCTGCTTGCTCGAATTCTATTTGTGAAGCTTCAGACCATTCAGCAGCCTTTTCGGCAATTTTCCTGGTATTTAGGTGGTACGCTGAATAATCAGCCCAATTGGCCTCGAGCAGATCCCATACGTGCATTTTCCTCGTATCGTCCATACTTGGAAGGAGTTCATTTTCCAGCAAGCAAAACCGATTGAAGAGACTGTCCTGAACGAGCATCTTCTTGGCATCATCTATGGCTGTGTGCGTTGCCTGAGTCTCATGCACCTGTCGGATCTTCTTTAGTACCTCCATGGACGTATTGCTACCATCGTGTACAATTAACTGAGCCATGCCTCGTTTACCTTCGCGAGCCGTACGACCAACGTTCTGCATTTCGACGCGGAAGCTCTCCGGCAGAAACGCTACCAACACGCACATTCCTCCGTTCTTTTCAACATCTTTCGACGTCTTGAAGTCCGTTCCACGACCTGCAATGTTGGTAGCAATGATGATCTCACCCGAGTTGATCGTGTCCTTTTCGAAACATGCCTCCTCTCCTGTATATGTGACGATTTTTTTGGAATCGTACACCTTCTTCAGCATATTGGAAAGATGCCGAACCTGATTGATGTATTTGCAAATGACCAGGACTCCACGGCCATTCTCAGCGTGGTACACTGCGTTCTCCTTTAGGCTTTGGAACCATCTACCTAGATTTGATAGAACCAATGGTGCGAGTTCCTTGCATCTGTAACCGGAGTTTTCATTGTTGGCGATGTCTATGCTCTTATATGGTGGAATCACAACCATGTCTGTGCCATACATTTCTTGCAAGAAGCCCTGTGTAGATTCTTCACCAAGAGTTCCCGTCAATCCGTAGATATTGGAACCGTATCGCTGGAAGAAGCTAACGTTAGAGATGAAATTTGTTGATATTCCTTCCGGATCCATTTTCAACCCTTCCTTCATCTGCAAGAACTGCGTCAAGCCATCGCTCCACACCATATTGGTCTGGAGATCACCGGTTTCATTAAAATTCACTGGCACAATTTTCCCGTGCACTACAGTATAGTGAGCATCGCGCTTGTAAGCCCATTCAGCCAGTATGGCGTTCTTTACCCAGATGCAAATCTGATTCAAAGCGAAGTCCCTCAAATGTTCCGGAATATCAACGACTGGATCTCGGTAATTCCACGGAATTTCGATTAGCTTCTTGCGCATCTTCTCACATGCATCCATCAACTCATCCGTACCATTTCCGTCTTTCATAGAAATCTGTTCCTCCTTTTCCAGAATTTGTAGATTCAGTTCTTGATAGGCATCGTATTCATCCCGTTCAGAATCCGTTAACTTTCGAAGCAATTTTCGCAAATGATCCTCGGTATGTTCCGATATAAACTGCTTCTTATCATCCACTTCGATACTTACAGCCTCCCAGTCTTCCCCAGAGTACAGTTTGATCTGCTGCCCAACTGCTTCAAAGTCCTCCGCGATGAAATGCACCTTCCCATTGACCGAAACCATGTGATTGTTGATGTTGTGAATGTGCTGCCAAATGACGGCCAACGGTACCTCTAGATGAGTCATTCCAGGATTCTCATCTGCTAAACGGACACTATGATTTCGGCTGTCAAACAACATACTGTCCACTTCGTCCACTATGATTACTTGAAACTTACGACTTCCACGGCAATCATTCCCCAAGAACTCTGAACGGAGAATGTCTCCTTGGAAATCTGATGCAGTTCCGTAGACAACATCACAGCTATAGACAACTTTTTTCACTTGATCCGGGCTGTTTTCATCCACCGTTAGGCCAAACGCTGCGAAGAATGGTCGTTGCTTTTTCACTTCAGGAATCGACAACTCCGTAGACGTTGTAACAATATCGACATTCACACCCTTCAACGCGTGTATCACAGCCAGCATTGCGACAATAATGGACTTACCTTCACCGGTGTTGATCTGAGCAAGACGACCTTGACCTTCATCTGGGTTCGCCAACATCAACAACGACAAAATCTGTGTTGCTCTTGGGAAGAACTTGTGGCAAAGTTCAACGGCACGGCTGACAACTGCTATCTTCTCTACCAGCGATACCTGATTCGGACTGAATTTGACAAAACGTGCCCAATGCCGTATTTCCTTTTCCTTCCACTCCGAAATGGGTTTTCGAGTGAGTTTTTGAAGTGCTTCACTGTTGGTTGCCATTATGATGGAGCATACACTGTTGAATTCAGTAAACTGCGAAGAATTGAACGAAAGCGCAGCTGTAGAATACGCCAGTTTGACTAAGTTGAACTTGTTTTTCAAATTATTATGATTAGTTTGCTCGATTAACTCATCTACGCTGTATTCATAGCTTTTACCGAAAATGGAAGAAATTATAATCTTATCAATTTGGCCAATCCATTTTTCGGGGTTCTTTTCTAGCTTAATAGCAGTGAAAACATGATCCCAAATATCTGGTGTGGTTTGATATGTCAGGATATGCTCTAAAATTGTTGCAAACTTTGACATATTTGGTTCCAAAAGGTTCTTGTTTCTGTCAATAAAATTTTGAATTCTATTAGCTTTTTCTTTCCTCAAAAGATGTCCTAGCTTTGCATCTACATCACGGGCGACCTGGGGGGAAAGTTCGTAAATTTTTTGAACCAAAATTTGGTACCTGAGCTCCTGAATCCAAGCCGTTGCACAATCTTCTTCGTTCTGAATCTGGTTGATGATGTTCATCACTACTGGATGAACAACATTCTCATTTTTTACTTTATGAAGCAAGTCGCAAATTGCTGTTTGGTTTCGTTCTTCAACAATGGCATTAAGAAACTGTTGAATCATCAAACTGTTCCATGGCATGTTCACGAGCAGTTCAACCAATGCGTCAAAAGTTTCTTCATCACAAGTCCAACGCACCAGTCTTCGCCTGATCCAGCAACGTTTCAGTTTGCGATACCAAAAGATCTGCTCTTCACAGATTATGTTCAGTCCTTCGGATTTCAAACCAAGAACCATGTCCAAAATATCGTTGATATGTAGCAGAGTTAATCCATGAGTCAACTGCTTCGTTCGAAGTGAGTACAAGAGTTTCTGGCGATCTTGCCACTCAAATGACTCCCTCACATCTAACCAATAATTTTTGAAGACTTCAAGTAAAACCTCATCCACGATTCCCTCTGGGTACACAATAAGTTCGAATATTAAGCTTTGCTCGATCCATCTTATCACCGGATAGCGTTTCACAACTCGAGTCTGTAGTTTACCTCCTCGATGAACGTACTCCAATAGTTGCTGCTGAAGTACAACGTCCACTTTGTTTAAATTTCTTCTTACGGCTCTCGACAGCTGCAAAAATGCTTTATTCTCAACGGATTTTGAAATACGTTGATGTCTGGATTCTTTTCGCAATTGTTTGTGATGATTTCGTCTTGCTAGACGTTCCAGTTGCTTTTCAGATTTCTTCACTTCTTCGTCGAAAATTTCGGCACCAACCTTGCGATTATTTTCTTTGTCTACCGCTCGTTTGATTAAGCGCCCAAAGTCTTCCGACATGTTATTTTGCAATCTTATCAATAGTGCCTCGATTAGCTTAGAAGAATTTGCTTGAACTATTTCAATCTGTTTGTACCAGGACTCCGAGATTGCGCGGTCACTGTAGGAGTCATCGATTAAATCCAGTGACGATGTATCCAATGCTTCGAATAATAACCGCAAATCAATCACTTTGGCCTCGGGTAACAGATTCCCATAATCTGTCTCCGTAGTGTTAATGGGACCTTCTTGTTGAATGGAGTGTGTTTCATTATTATTTACCTCATTGCATGGCTCTTCAGCCTCCTCTTCGCTAACGTAATCGATTTCGTCATCCCGTATAGCACTTGTTTGTTCCAAGGCCTCCTGAAGCTTGGACTTGATTACTTCTTTCTCCTCTTTTTCTCGTGCAATGCGTAGCTGTTCCTGATGTTCACGCTCTCGCTGCAAACGCTGTTGTCTCGTCGGTTCTTCTTGTTCTCTTTGCAGTCTAAGCTGTTCGTGACGCTCTTTTTCTTCTCGTTCCCGCTTCAAGCGCTCTTGTCTTTCTCGTTCCTCTTGTTCCCGTTGTTCCCGTAATCGTTCCTGCCGTTCCCGTTCGCGCTGCTCCCGATCCTGGTGCTCTCGCTCAAGTCTGACATGTTCCTGCCGCTGTCGTTCGAGTGTTTCTTTCTCACGTTGCAGCCTTTGCTGTTCTACCTGCTCCTGTCGTATGCGCTCCTGGCGGTCCCGTTCCTGTTGTGCTCGCCGTCTACGTTCGTCACGCTCTTCCTGCTCGCGTCGTTGGGCAGCTTGGCGGGAGGCACAATTGTGGTCCGACCGGTGGCTACAGTAATCGTAACATCTACCGTTTGGACACGAATAGTGACACCGATCGCAGTAGTATGTGGCACATTTGGAACAACTGTGTCCACCACCGTGAAGGCCGATTTTTCCAATGAACAGAACTTGTGAATTGTCAATGGATAAGAGTTGAACATGTGAACGCTGCCATCGTGAGTCTCGTTCAGTCAAATCATATATGGTACAAGAATGATCGAACACAACTGGAACATGCAGCAGCTGGTAACAACGAGGGACGGACGAATTTAAGATCGTTGCCTGGAAGCTATCCCCTTTTAATTGGAGAACTGCGCGGAATCCTTCCTTGGTTATTAACAATCTTGCTGGCGCATTCTGCATATTGGCCATTTTATTCTCTTCAGACGTTACTGTTCATAGACTAGAAACTGCAATTATAAATCAGTAATGAAAATAAGTCGATGTTAGTCTACAGCTAAAACATGTTTTTATATTTAATATAACATTTAGTCATGTCCTGTTTTCTTTTAGTCGGAGTCAAAAAAAAATCTAAAAAAAGTCGTAAAATCAAAATCAAAATTACATCGAAAAAGTATTGAAAAAATGATTGAAAAAAAAACGAAAAAGTCGTAAAAGTCAAGAAAAAATCGGAAAAGTAAAAAAAATCATCGAAAAAAATAACCGAAAGTCAAAAAAAAAATTATCATCGAAAAACTAAAAAATAAAAATTTCATAGATATCCAATTCAATTCTGGCTTTTGAAATTTACTAACAATAAAATAGCAGAATTCCAAAATATTTTTGAGATCTCGGACCCAACTTGGAACTTAGTAAAAGAGAAATACTGAGACTTGATTTTTTTACATATTCTGGTATGTACTTTGAAATTCTAGAGACTAAAGATTTTTAAAGATCCTAGATTTGAAAACATACACACATATATCAAGATTATTGGACTAATACGTTTTGAATAAGCTTGAAATTTTGAAAGACTCTTGAACTTTAAACAAAAAATCATGTCCTCTAAGTAAAAGTGTGGACGTCTGCCAAAAGTAGTTCCAATCGAATCGTCAAAATGTACTGCTTTGCTCGATTGGTACTACTTTTTTTTCAGTTTTGTGATGATAGTCGTCCATACTTTTACTACAGTGCTTTAAGAACTACAAAGTGTTTCCACAGAGGACAGGCATTAAAGCTCGAACAAAATTTCTATAATAGCTTAAACCACGTCAACACTGACTGCCCAACATGAAAATCCTCAAACGCAAAAGAACTGCTCATGTTCAAAAGAAGGACGAATAGGTTTCCAGGTTGAAAAAAATCGAACCTTCTTAATCTTTTTTCAAGATTAATTTCAAAATTTACTGAGCTTTGAGCAAAGTTCAAACCCGTAGAAAATGGCTTGCTCTTCAGCGAAATGATCCTTTCGGTGAAATGACCTTCACCGAAACGTCCTTCGGTGAAATGTCCCGCTCCAGCCTCAAAGACATCCATGTCCTTCAAATATCATGAGCATATGATGCAGAAACAAAGCTAATTATTAAAAAAATAAAACAATCTATTCGAAGTTATTTTTTTTTTTTTTTTTTTTACTAATTTATTTGATAAGGCTCAACCGAATTAACTTTACAGAGCCGAGGATTCTTGGTCACTATACAATACATCTTAAAACTATAGTCAAAAGGTACAACACAATAAACACTTTATCTTCCGCTATCCAAAAAGCCTCCTCCATCAGAACTGGAGCCGCTTCCAGTAGTTTCATTGTATGGCAAATTGTTGTACGCCAACGAGGGTCAGAGCGCGTCCATTGCAGCAATGGACGCAAAATGTGGTCAGCACTCACACACTCATCACGAAACGGTTGCTTTCCAAAGTCGACGACGCATCGACCGAAAGAACTGCTGATGAAGAACAATGAGGAGGACCACACAATGGTTGCTGCCGAGAAAACAGACGATCGCGTAGCACACATTGAGAGTGGCCTGCTTTTGTCGACAGCCGAGTGAACACTGTATTCGAAGTTATGGATCAGCTCCAACAAGACGCCCCCAGTAGAAGTTGATTTAGATAGGCTGATCGATCTTAAAAATTATTTCAAATATGCAAATTTTCATGCATGGCGATGTATAAATAAAGTTTAGTCAAAGCTTGCATAGACAATACTCTATTTACAACTTTTTTCAGTAATTTCCGAATTTCCAAATTAGAGTAAATGGAACTCAAATATGAGTCAGACTCAACGGCTGACACTAGCACCAAATTGGCCATTAGTGCAAAATTTATAGATAAAATCAGAAGATGCCAGCATCACGTAACGGCCATGTAACCAGTTATTAGTTTAAAATTTTACACAACCATCTGGACGTCTGTTATGTGTGGCCACAGACAAACACACATAACATTCGCAAGCTATTCATCGAACACGCATTTTAAACATTTAAAACGATCTCACAAACTTTCGCTGTTTCTTCACCCTCCTGTTCAATTTTCGTGCCTATTTGTGAACTCGTTGTCTTTCTCTGCATCACTGCTAGTTGCTACTAGCATAGAGGTAACTCTAAGACCACTGGGTCCCGAAAAAAATCATTATTATTTTTGGCTCACTCAGTACCAGAACAACGGTCCCAAGCAGTCCCAAGCTATTTCACTCACCCCTGCATGTTCTGCATGAATCCACACACCCCTGATGTTATCTGTCAAACTTTCATAGCGAATCAAAACAAACATAGTGTAGTAATAGAATTTCAACTAGAATAGGGTACGTTAATCGTTTGCTTGGGACTAATAGGCTACTAAAGTGGTGAGCCAATTTAAAATCGTTAGTTTCGTATTGATTGTTGCTACTAGTCTCCCGAAAGTCTCCCGACTGAGTTCCTAGTTGGGTCTTATAAAAACGTAACACCAATCCGGAAAATAGACAATGTCTCATGGTATTTTCTTAACGAGCATCACAAGTCGAGAAATGTTCCAACCCAAAAAATTTCTAGACCGTACTGGGAATCGAACCCAACCACCTCCAGCATGGTCTTGATTTGTAGCTGCGCCCTTACCGACTGAGCTAAGGGAGGCCCCCTTTCATCAATATGTGTGCTGAAAATAGCTGGGAATGTCTTAACATGGTCGTAAGGATGCAAAGAGAAAGTCGACGGAGAGAATCTTTCAATATTACTTAGGACCTAAAGTAGCTTTTCTCAACCTATGGGTCACCACCCATCTGGTGATGTGAATTTTATGTTTTTCAAGCCGATTCAATGTCAATATGTTTTTAAGTTTCAGTACAGTATCATATTTATACATATACAACATCTATATTCAATATTGAAAGGTTGAGAACTTATTAAATTTCAAAATAAGAAAAAAATGCAAGTCGAATCTTTTTGTTGTCTTCAGTGCAATTATTCCTTATGAAGCATTCCACTGCGTCCTAGCAAGAAGTACGGTCGACTTGTTTCGCGCTCCGTTGTTTTGGAAGTTTTTTCGATATTCGCTTGATATAAATTATCAGTTTTTTTCTCACTAAGTGACTCCTGGCATAGTTCCCGGTAAATTGATCGAAAAGTGAGTTTTTTTAGTAGAAAGTGTCATTTTCGGAAAGATCAATCCGTGCTATTGGAAATTCGCAAACAAATTTGGGCATCATCGTTGCGTGGTCACGCATACGCGCTTACGCATACCCGCTCACGTATCATCATCATCGAGTGTGAGCACCCGTTTCTACATCTACATCGTTCATCAATCATCGTGCGCCTGTGTGCGCTTTCTACATCTACATCGTTCATCAATCATCGTGCGCCTGTGTGCGCTGAGTGACGCGCCTCGATCAAGTGCACCACAGCGAAGGTCATCCACGCAGCGCGTCTCTTCCAGCCATCTGTGTAAACGCCTACACATATAACGCTCTAGTTGAACAAAATGGATGTTTTGTCAGAAGACGACATGGATGACCATTCATCTCAGAAGAATGGTGATGTCATCCCTGGTTCGTCGTCTCAGTCTGTCAATGGGCAGGCTGAGAAAAGCTTCAGATTGCGGGCCTACCCGAATGACTCGACTGGCCCATGGGTTGTCTATTTTCAGCCCAAAAACAAACCCTTGAATGTTGTTCAGATATCTGATGATCTGACAAAGCGATTCTCTGCCGTGACCGAAATAACGAAGGTTAGGCACAACAAACTTCGTGTGACCGTCGCTAACCTGAAACAAGCCAATGAAATTGCTGTTTCCCAATTTTTCACACTGGAATATAGGGTGTACATTCCAGCCTCTGATGTGGAGATCGAAGGCGTGGTCACTGAGGCGAGTCTGAACCCCGAGATACTGGAGAAGCAAGCGGTTGGCCGATTCAAGAACCCCTTGCTTCCTCCGGTAAAGATACTGGCCGTTCATAGAATGAAGTCAGTATCGCTCAGCGAGAGTAAAAAGAGTTTTACCCCCACAGACTCGTTTCGGGTGACCTTTTCTGGATCTGCCCTTCCTCAATACATCGAGCTGGGAAAACTTCGTCTTCCTGTGCGGTTGTTTGTACCTCGGGTCATGAACTGCCAGAATTGCAAGCGGTTTGGACATACGGCCTCCCACTGCGGCAACAAGGCACGCTGCTCCACATGCGGGGAGAAGCATGATGCGCAGCTACTGCACCAAAATGCGTGTACTGCAATGGAACTCCTCCTCATGCCCGGCGTACAAACAGCTCGGGGACAAAATGAAACGCTCCCTTAAGGAACGTTCCAGGCGGTCTTTTGCAGAAATGCTTAAGACAGCCACGCCATCGACCACTGACAAAAATCCCTTTTCTCTTTTGTCAGATGACGAGACTGACTCTGACTTAGCTGAGGAGGGAACTTCTTTCAGTTTTCCGGAAGGTTCTGCACGGAAACGAAAGCGCATCCGTTCGCGGATTGTTGCAAATAAAGAACCCCAAATCAGCTTGCCTAAATCAAGGAGTGGTGGAGGCCGGTAAAGCACTTCTCGTATTTTCTCTTGAAAATACGAGAACTGCTTAGTGCTTTATCCGTGCGCTCTTTCATCATCACCTTCGCGTGGGTCCCTTCGCATTGCTCAATTTTGGGCAATGAGAAGGCGGATTCACTTGCGAAGGTGGGCGCTATGGAAGGCGACATTTATGATCGACAGATCGCCTATAGTGAATTTTTCGGCAAACATACTTTTGAACATAAAAACCAATAAATGATCCATAAAATATTGGAAAACGTTCCATAAAAAACATTAAAAATGTTCCATAAAACTTCGGAGAAAATCCTTAAAAAAGTGTGAATGATCCATAAAAAATATCAATATGATCCATATTTACTGTAAAATTTAGCAACACAATTGTAAAAATGTACCGCTAAATTTCTAAGGAATGAGCATTGAAATTGTAAGAATTACCCATAAACATATTGCAATTGATCCATAATGCATTCAG